ATTTGTGAACATACTGTACAGAGGGGTTACAATTACATGGGCAGGATAATGCATACATTTCTTACCAAGCATTGCAGCCTCCTCCTTTGTTTACCCTTCATTGTTTACCCTTCACACACCATCTCTTTTTACCTGACTTGCTTTGGGAATATAGTCTCATGCTTTACCAGAGTGGTCTAGAACACAGTGTCACTATTTCTGCCTTCTGCAGCAGCTGGGATTCGAAGCACATGCCACTACACCTGGCTTATTGTCTGAGATGTCACCCTACTACTTTATTTTGGGTTTGGGGCCTGATCTGTTATCAGATGGTGATCGCTCTGATTTCTGCCTCCTGAGTAGCTGGGATCACAGGTGTCAGCCTCTGCGTATGGCTGAATCGTAGGGGTGGGTGGAGGGTCGTTGCTAGAGGCTGCACAGAGCCGGCCTGGCACCCGCCCTCCCATGCCTGCCCTGGCTTTGCTGCCCTGGGAGCGCTGTTGTAAGGGGGAAGAAGAGGTCGGAGGGGCGTGACCTGCCTGGCCCTTTGTGATAGAGGCACTAGCTTGCAGGCTGGAAAGTGAGGAGGGGGAAGGAGGTGGGCATCAGCACGAAGCGGTAGGCCATCTTTAAGTCCTCCTGCAGCAGAGTCTTCACCTGGAAGGATTTCAGCACCTAGGACAGAGCAAGGCTCTGTGACCTCGGCCCTGCTCTTGCTTGGGCCTTAGGAGTCTGAGCCCAGCCCAGCTCTGCTCCGTGCCAGCCCCGCCGCACCCGGCCCCGCCCCGACCGCTCACGTGGTGAAGCAGCAGCAGCATCTCCGCCTCGGCCAGGCGCCGCCCCAGGCACTGGCGCACCCCAAAGCCGAAGGCCAGGTGGCTGAAGCGCAGCCGCTCATCCAGCCAGCGCTGGGGGTTGTAGCGCTCCGGGCTCTGGAAGACGGCCGGATTCCGGCCCATGGAGTACAGATACACATGGACAGAAGTCTGTGGGGGTGGAGGGGGTGAGTGGCCATAGGTGACAGGCGGCCGTGGATGACCAGCAGCCGCGGGTGGCGGGCGGAGGGGTCTGCGGGGTGGGGGCAGGGTGCACTCACCCCAGCAGGCACACGGTAGTTCTGAAGCACCACATCCGAGGGGGGGGTTCTGTCCAAAATGCTGCCAATTGGGTAGAGCCTGTCAGCAGGGGGGGCAAGAAGGGCCTCAGGCATGGCAGAGAGAACGGGGGCCTGTCCCCACACACAGAGAGGACGGGGGGGGGCTGTCCCCACACACAGAGAGGACGGGGGGGGGGCTGTCCCCACCACATATTCCTACCTAAGACCCTGCAAAGACATCATAAGGCCCAGGTCATTGCAGTGGGTGCGCTTGAGCTTCTGAGCTCAGCAAAATCTCCCACCTGAGCAGACCCGGTGAGGGGACGGGTCGGGCTGGCACAGTGCTGACGGGCATCCCGGCGCCTGGCCGGCACCTGCCCTCAGGGAGGGGCGGGGAGAGGGCGAAGGCGGGTCTCCCCAGCGCCAGCTCTGCTCCTCCACTGGAGACCACAGGGGCCACCACGGGTGGGCAGGCCGCAGGGCGTACCTCAGCGTCTCCTTGATGGCGGCCCGCAGCAGGGGCAGCTCCGAGATGGCCTTGTGGGGATCTTCGGTGATGCTGGCCGCGGCGGCCAAGCTCTCCTGCCGAAGGGCCCGCTGCACAGCGGGGTTCCGAGCCAGCTCAAAGAGCGTCATCATCAAGGTGAAGGAGGTCTGCAGACGCCACGGGGGGGAGGAGAGGGGAGGCTCAGAAAAGGGCACTGCCCGCGTCCCCCACCCCAGGTCACCCACAGCAGAGGGACGCCCCTGCCCTGGGGAAGGGTGGGCCCAGGACCACCGGCCTCCCAAGTACTGTGCCCTAAGTACCGAAGCGAAGCCCCACAGATGCCGGCCAAGCTCCTCCGCCGCCGCTCCAGGGCCTGACTCCCTGCACTGGTGTCCCTTGGAGATGACCCTTAGTGCCCCTCAGGGGTATTTTGGAAAGAACAGCCACCTGCCTTCAGGACCCTCAGCCCCGACCATGTCCAGCCTGAGCTTCCCCAGGCCCCAGCGGGCCTTGCTGCGGACTCTTCCGCTACGCGAGGGGTCTCGGCGTGGCCAAAGTGTCTCCTTTGTATCTGGAGCCCCCAGAGTGGCCTGAGTGGCAGTGTGGCTTCCTAGGCCCTCCCTGATCCTAGCAGCCTGCGGCCGCGCTGTCTCCCAGGGCCCTGCAGGCGAACTAGAGAGAGCAGCGCCCTGACCTCCGTCTGCTGGCTGGCATAGGGGGCCAGTCCGACGGCCTGCGCAGCACCTCCCTCCCAGATCGACCACTTCCCCACAGTGCTGACACCCGCCCTGCGCTCTGTTCCCCCCTCCCCTTCCTCGGCCCCTCCCCTCTGCTTTGCTCCTCCTCTGTCAGCTCCAGCCACTGTCCTCCGGGGAGCCTGGGAGAGCTGCCTCCATGTGAGGGCCCCGGGCTTCTGGACACTCCAGCCTAGGGGTGGGGCTTGGGGCAGCTGTTCCTGGGAGAACTCGGCCAAGGGGGAGCGTGAGCTTTGTGCTGGGCCAGGAGGTGGCCGTGGGCCCGACCGTGTCCACGCTTCCAGCCGTGAGCTCCAGAGCGTTGGCTTTGATGGCGTCAAGGGGCAGGCCCTTGTGTGCCAGCAGCTCGGGCACGATGCCGCTGTAGTCCTGGTGAGGGCTGAGAGCCAGCTCCTGCCACACCTTCTCGATGCAGCTGTTGGCTGTGGGGGGCCGAGGTCAGGGGTCAGGGGTCAGGGAGGTGCCTCTCTGTCCTCTCCCCACCGCCCAGCACATCCGCTTCTCCCCATCCCTTTCCACCATCTCCAGTGCCGGCCCAGCCATCACCTCGCCACCAACTGCCTGCAAGGACCAATGGGAAGTCAGCGCTTGGCATGCGGCCTGTGACCAGAATAAACCAGAAATGGGGCGACGGTTGTGCCTCTGCCCTGCGGCCCTCACCGTACTCGGAAATGAAGTCCCAGGCCTCGAAGTGCTCCTTCCAGGCCTGGGGTCTGGTCCAGCAGGACAGGCTCCTGGGCAGGAACATGAGCTGCCCGGTGGACTTGAACATGACCTCCAGGGCATGGATGAAGTTCAGGCTTCTGGAACTCATGTTTTGGTCAAAGAGGCCCAGCCGCTCTCCAAAAAGAGCGAAGTTGCTAGCTGCAGAGACCATGGCATTGCTGAGCGGAAGTGAGTCCAGGCTGAAGGATGCCTCCCCTCCCCCGGTCCTCCCCCTCCTCCCCAGACCACGGCCTGCGCACAGCCACAAACCTTCTATAGAGTAATAGAAGATGCTGGGCTGGACGTCAAGGGTGAGGCTCCCACGGGTGTTCCGCAGCATCTTCTTCCGCAGGTACGCGGAGAAGTCCCTGGCCACCGCGTCCACCATGGGGAAGAACTTCTGGGCAGCCTTTGGTGTCAGCACCGAGCGGTTCATCGGCAGTCGGTTGAGGTGCCACTCGGGCCCGTTCCTGCAGCAATGGGAGTCGAGCCTGAGAGGAAGCTCCAGCCCTGTCCACGCTGCCCTTCTGGGGCCCGCTGGACACTGGGGGGGCAGGGGGATGGCTGCCGGCTCAGGGGCACACAGCGGTGTGCAGCAGCACTCCCTGTCTGCACCATCTCCCACAGCGACCCTCGGGTGCTGGGACAACGGTCACCGAGGTCTCCGCTGGAGCTGGACAGATCTGCATGGACTTGTTGGGGGCATTGGCTGCCCTGACCAGGGTGGAGGCCTTTTCTTCAGGGGAGGGGCCGACCCTCCCGCCCAGCTTCGCCTGCCTAACCACCTCAGAGTGCAGAAGCTGTGGCTGACCTCTCCCTCCCTGCCCTTCCCGGTGGCAGCTGCGCTCTGCGTCAGTACCCCCCATCTGTCTCTGTGAAGTGTCCCCCCCCCTTCTGCAGGCTGGGACCCAAGCCTGCCCTGCCACAGCACCCACCAGCCATGGCTCAGGGCCCCTTGGAAATGCTTCTGTGAACCAGGATTGTCACTCTGCATCGCAAGCCACTGTGAGCACCGCCCACTTCCCAGGGCAAATGCCTACCTTTACAGGCAGCAGCTGCACCCCACACACGCTCACCCAGACACACCTGCGTCCACCAGAACCACAAAACATATGTGCAACAACCACTGCACACTCAGAGCGCACTCTTCCTGTCTGTGCACTGGCACAAGCACTGGTGCAAGTGCAAATACAAGGAGTGTGCAGTCCTGCGTGGGGTGTGTGTGCCTCCATGTTCACGAGGAGCCTGCTTGCTTTGTGGGCATACCCCACATCCTCCCAGCCTGCGCTGAGCATCCCACCTCCTCTAAAAGTCCCCTGACAAGAAGCCCATCTCCTGACACTCGGCCAAGGACTTCACCCCGACAGCAAGGGGAACGGGTCCTCAGCCTCACCTCCCTGTTTTAGTGCTTGCTCTCCCCACAGCCCCCCTTCACGACTAGTCCATGACAAATCACACATGCCACCGCTTGCCTGTGCCCCCCTGTCACTACAGTGCACACACACGTGCACATGCACTGTATGTGCATGCACACACACACACACACACACACACACACACACACTTAGGGCTTTGATTCTGAACACAAAGGAGACATCCATCTTCTACTTCCTACCCATGACCCCTAGGGTCAACAACCCAAAGTGAAGGTTGCTTCATCTCTAGACATGAAGATGCCAAGCGGGGCCAGCTCGATTGACCGTCCCTCTGGAACACATGGGCTCAGCTTTATGATCTGTAGGAAGGACAGCCTCCGATGGGGAAGGGGACGTGGAGGGGCCCGCTTCCTGGGTTTGCTCAGCGCACTGCCTCTCTCCTGCCAGGTGCCCTTGCCCCCAAGCTGAGGGCCCCGTGGGATGGCCACATGGGCGGGCACCCTGCTTCCACCCACACAGTACCCAGGGTCCTCAGTCTACCCAGCCCTCCTCCCTCCTCACCCCCAGGGGCTCCTCACAGCAAGAACACGCCGCGTTTCTGCCCACGATGCTCTCTGTGGGCCACCCAGGGCTCCATCAGCCGCCGGTGTGGATGCAAACTCTCCACCTGGTACAGCTTCTCAGCGTCCTCTGGCAGCATCACCGATACGACCTGCGATCTCCCCACGTCGTACCTGCGGACGCACAGAGCTGCTGGACGCCATCCTGTCCTTCCCAGCCCTCTGCAGACCCACCCAGAGTGGCTGCTGTGGCTCTGGCCTCCTCCTGGCCTGGCCCTCACCCTGGGACCTCCCATGTGGCCCAGCTGGGCCACCCCCACCACAGTGCTCTCTGCTCTGTGTCTCTGCTCGGTGCGCTCCGCTTCTCTCTGTCCACCTGGAAGACTTTGGAATTCATGGCTGCAGGGAGCTGACAGTAAAGCTCAACAGTAAAGGTCATCTCGACCCTTATGCTTGCTTGAAGGCACATACAAAGAACTGGCTTACTTGAAAAACACCAGGTGCCCAGGATTGCTTTGCTATGTCTGCAGAGTCTGTTTTACATTTAACCGGTTGACCTTATCTTCTTTTTATTGCACTCTGTTTTTACTAAACTTAAATCTTCCTTGTTTTTCTGGACTGTAGTAACCTTATGCTACTCCTTGATTTCTAACAGCATATATCAGAAAAAGTTAAGAATAAACGGGGCTGCAGTCTTGAGCCGCAGACCTCCCAACCCCATCCTTTGTCTTGTGTCTTTCTTCTTCGTCCTCACCCCCTAAATCAGGATTCCATTTCGTTGCTGGCTCGGGCAAGTGGTGTCCGAACAGGGCCCTGAAAACCTAGGACCACGGCAGAGGACCTGGCCACCGTAAGAGGACATCCAGAAACTTAGGAAGGACAGCGGGAGAGAGTATATTCAGGAGTACGAAATTATGGGGCAAGGTAGCAGGCGCACGCTCTATGTGCAGGCTCTCAAGGGTATGCTTCACGCTCGAGGAGTGAAAGTTGGACAGAGTCAGTTAGAACGTTTCTTTCACTTTGTTGAGCAAGTATGCCCCGGTTCCCAGAGGAAGGAACCATTAATTTAGAAACTTGGCAAAAAATTGGAAAAAGGATTCAGGGACACTATGACACAAATGGCCCTTTAAAAAACCCGGTGGATGCTTTTTTACTCTTTTTTGAATTTGGTCTGAGATGTTGGGATCCCAGGCATGAGCAGATGAAATTCAATCCGTTGATTGGGGAAGTTGAACAGGGTGGCGAACATCGCCCTGCCCCGGGAGCGTATGCCACTGCCCGAGAGGAACTAAGAAAATTCATAAAAGCTGAACCCATTGGGCCAGGCAATGAGGAAAAATCAGATGGCTCAGATACTCAGGAAAAAATATATGATGAGCCTTCTGAGGACAGATTGGCCCATGTTGAGGAAATGTTGAATTCAGTCATGGATCGATTGTTACAGATTCAAACAAAGCAACAAACTCCTTTAAAGGTGAATCTTTGTGAGCCACCGCCGACAGTCCTGGAGGGCTCCGATTCCTTTCCGCCACCCCCTCCGCCTGTCATTGTCCTGACACCGCCTAGACGGCCCAGGCCTTTGAAGCTACCTAGTCCTCCTAAAGATGAATTCCCTCGAGGGACGGGGCTCATCTCCCTCCCAGGCATAGCTCCCTGCAGCTCTCTTTGGCACACTGCTCATAGAGGAGAGGATATTTCTGGTTCTCACTTATTTCCTGTAATGGAGGACCAAAATCAACAAAGAACTCATCAACCCTTCCATTTAAACAAATAAGGGACCTAAAAAATGCTTGCACTCAATATGGGCCTACAGCTCCATTTACTCAGGTAATGTTGGAAACTTTGTCCACTGATGCTTTATGCCCAAATGATTGGAAAGTTAGCTAGAGCTTGTTTAGCAGAGGAGACTACTTATTGTAGAAGTCTGAATTTGTGGAACAGTGTCAGGCCACAGCAGAGGTCAACAGGGCTAATAATATACCCACTACATTTGCAGAGCTCACTGGGGAAGGTGCTTACAATGACACCCAGACCCAGTTAAATTACCCTGTGGGTGCATATGCTCAGATCGATGCCGCTGCTAAGCATGCCTGGAAAAAGCTTCCTAACTCTGGTAAGACTGAGGACCTCTCCAAAATTAGACAGGGACCAGATGAACCTTATCAAATATTGTTTCTCGATTACTGGAGGCAACAGGCCATCTGGTCCGGCATGGTTCTTGTACAACAATTGGCATATGAAAATGCTAACGCAGCCTGCCAAGCGGCCATCAGACCTTTTAGAAAAAAGGGAGGAATAACTGATTATATTTGGCTCTGCACAGACATTGGTCCACCCTATATGCAGGGCCTCACGCCGGCTGCTGCACTTTCAAGGCCGGATTGATGACAAGGTAGAACAAAAACTAGAGGCACTGTATGCGTCAGTATTATCTTTAGGAGAACAAGTCCAGGCTCTGCAAACTTCACAGCGAGTGTGCGGTCATACCCAGTTTGGTTTCCTTTGTGTGACCCCTCACGTATACAACAAATCAAGCCCTTGTGGGGAAAAGTTGTAGCACTTCTCAGTGGTATTTGGCACCATAATAACTTGTCTTTAGACCTTTTTCAACTCCACAGGCAAATAGCCAGATTAGAACAAGCCCCACCTCTGGACTCTAAAGTGGGTAAAAACTGCTAAAGAACTGTTTGAATAATTTCAACGCTGTATCCCATCTCTGACTAATGTTAAAGAACTGCTAATGACATCGCTTGGCCAGGGAATGCTTTTACTGATGGTTTTTCTTTTTTTGTTGGTCATGAGGCCTGAACTCTGGGCCTGGGCGCTGTCCCCCAGCTCTTCAGCTGTAGACTAGTGCTCTACCACTGAGCCTCAGCCCCACTTCGTTATTTTCTGCTTATGTGATGCTGAAGAATCGAACCCAGGGCCTCATGCATACAAGGCAAGCGCTCTATTACTGAGCCACTTTCCCAGCCCCCACTGATGGTTTTTCTATGCCTCCCTTGCATTATACGTGTACTACAAAACTCTCTTATGAGTTTAAACAGCCAGTTGCATAAGACCAAGCTCCAAGTGAATGAATTTCCCCCGAGAGGAATCGCAGCCAGAGACGGGTAAGTCTGACCAACCTAAGACAGGGCCTTCAGCTTCGCTCTGAAGGAGTTCCCGATGACGGGTAAGGCAGACAAGGCGATCCACCCAACCTAAGACAGGCAGGTTCGCTTCTTTAAACAAAGACGGGGAGATGTAGGGAGCTGACAGTAACTCAACAGTAAAGTCATCTGGACCCTTGTGCTAGCTTGAAGGCACATACAAAGAACTGGCTTACTTGAAAACCACCAGGTGCCCAGGATTGCTTTGCTATGTCTGCAGAGTCTGTTTTACACTTAACCAGTTGACCTTATCTTCTTTTTATTGCACTCTGTTTTTACTAAACTTAAATCTTCCTTGTTTTTTTGGATTAACCTTATGCTACTCCTTGATTCCTAACAGCATATATCAGAGAAAGTTAAGAATAAACGGGGCTGCAGTCTTGAGCTGCAGACCTCCCGACCCCATCCTTTGTCTTGTGTCTTTCTTCTTCAACCTCACCCCCTAAATCAGGATTCCCTTTCTCTGCCGGCAGGCTCTGGCACGTGGCAGTGACCAGGCCCACAGCTACCCTGCTCCTCCCCTCCTCAGGCACAGGGCAGAGAGGCCCATGGCGGAGGTGTGGGTCTTGTGCTCGGCTAGGGCCGGGGCACCCGCGGGGCTGGAGCTGCCGCATCCTTAGCAGGGCAGGAGAGGCGCTCACCTGAAGATGGGCCCCAGGGTCTGGAAGAGGCGGTGCACGTCCAGGTG